GCCTCGTTGGCGTCCCGCGCTCCTCTCCGCGGCAGGGCTGCAATTAGGCCCCTCGCAGCTGATGAGCGTGCCGCGCTGCCCGGACCACTCGGCCACTCTCGACACGACGCGGAAGGGTGCGCCGCGAGGTTACTGCAGTTCGCTGCAGGGGAGGCTCGCTGCCGCTGGTGCGGGGTCTCTGATGATGGCGCCCTCTTCTTATGCGGCGGCGGCGAAGCGCCTAGCTCGGCTCGGCCGGCGCCTACCAACGCCCTCGGGGGGCGCAATGCAACTACTCGCCGCCGTAGGCAAGAAAAGGGTTATCTCCGCCTCCCTCTCTGTGATTAGAAAGAAGCGAGCCGCGAGCCGCGAATGAGGGCGGGGGACGTGCCAGGCAGGCTGGGTGCTGCCCAACCCCCTCCTCCCCCACCCCACCCCTGGATTGCCGAAATACAATCACTCGTTTCCTGCTTCCAGGGCACACTCTGTCATCGCACTGGAGGGCCACGAACCTGATGACACGGAGATGTTCCGTCTGCAAGGCTGGCCGGCCGGCTCGGGCTCGGCCAGTCGTCCTGGAGTCCGGGAGCTCTGGTGGTGTGGCGCGCGACGCGGGTCCAACTGATCGATACGCACTGGCCGCATGCTCTGGTCCTGGGGCACGCCCGGAGTCTGGAGCCCCGGGACCACGCCGGGACAGACTTGTAGAGGGGGTGGGCGAGGGCGCAGGGGCAGCGCGCCGCTGGGCGCCGCCGCCGGGTGTGGGGGTCGCCGCCGACGCCGTGGTGAAACCAACCCGCGTCTTCCGGAGCATGGTCCAGGGAAAAAGGTACGTAAAGAAATGTGAATACACGGGAGCTTGGTCCTGGAGAAAAGTTACACTTTGAACGATGTCGTTGGGGTGTTGAAACGACACCGTAAGTGTCTCTCTTGAAATGAATATTCGGCTGGAGCAGGAGCCGTCTTACCTGTCGTATTGTTGGAGAGCAAGGGTGCCAAAGGGTGCGAACGGTGCGAAAGATGCCACGCGCAGGGATGTCTTTAGTAGGAGGCAACTTTACTGGTTCGACTCCGCAGTCGATAAAAGTGTGCTACGGGCATGGTCCAGGTGCTTACCAAGGGTCTGCACTCCGGGCCGGAAACAAAGCCACCGCTCGACTGGCGGGCACCTCAGCGGCGTCCTGCCCTGCAGCAGCGGCAGCAGGGCAGGACCCAGCAGTGGAGCAACGGCGCCGCTATTGGAACATTCTCGCAATAAGTGCAATAAGCGATATTGCCGTGTTCCGTCCCCCCGCCCCCTCCTCTCCCCTCCCAACGCAGGTGGTGCCCGCGGCAGTCCACGGCGCTGGCCGTGGCCTGCAGGAAGACGCCGCGTAAGACAGGACGCGTTAGTGCTGATGTCTCCCCTAGACACACTCACCCCCTCCCTCCCTCAGCGGCGATTTTACGGGCGTCCCTGTGTGTGTTCCTGATATGTGACGCCCAAAGTGTACAGCGTGTGTGTTTTGGAGCATTAATCCAAGGGGCGTATTGCATCGCGCGCGTAAGGCGGACCTAAACCTCCTAAACAGCCATCAGCGTCAGCGCCGCTTAACGCCGTCCCAGCCCCTGCTGCCTCTCAACGGGGTGCCGCTCCGTGTGACGGCAGACGGGGTGCCGCTCCGTGTGACGGCAGAGGGTTGCGTAGCGTGTGCTCTGCATGGTGCTGGTGCTGCTCGTGGTGCTGGTGGTGCTGGTGGTGCTGGTGGTGATGCTGCTGTTGATGTTTCGGCAGGTGGGCCCGTCGGTGCCGTCGGTCTGAAGTCCCAGAGATGACGCCGTATCGGATCGCGTGGTCTTGTTGGCAGATGTGTATGTAGGCGAAGGCCGGCGCGGGGCGGTAGAGCAGTGGTCGCCCAGCGGGAGGGTGACAGCGGCGGTCGGCGGTGGTACTGTGTCCCCCGCGGAGGCGGCTGACCGCGCGACGCGTCCGGGTGGGGCAGCGGGCACGATGGGC